TTATTATTACATTATTATCAATATCATGACCGAATGTGGAATTATTAATCTTGTTCGTGCTGTCATTAAATCATGACATTTTCGCAATCATATTACTCACCGAACAAATTATTATTTTATGAAAATTCCACTTTACGTAATGGCATCTAGAACTCATTGGAATATTTTTACTATTCAAAAACGTGAAATTTTCCTGCTTTAAGTGAGTTCGTTCCAATTTTTCATGTCATTTTGATCTAATATTACATTCATTCACTTAGTCGAGGTCCGCAATTTATGTTATCACAACATACAGTTTTCATTTCGAAATCGCCTCCTATTATGTCTGTGGATGCTTCTGACTAGCTGATTAGTAACCATTACGCTCATTTTATCTATTCTTCCACGTGCATAACTACATTCTTCATCACTTATCACTCGAAAACGCTATTCGAGTACTGCAATTTCTATTCTATACCCATCGCTCGGTATATCAGAACATAGAGTTTAGAGCTAGTCTCTCAAAGATACACTCTTGTTCGTCACATCCAAGTCAGTCTCATAAGTCGCCATCGCTAATCATATGTATTAGTATTTCTGTTATGTCTTGGTACGGTTTTGTAACAAACGAGATCGAGCGCATCTCCCTCAAACCACACAAACCACTCTAGGCTTCATGACCAAAAAGGAATACGACTCTACGTACCTTATCTACTCAGTCACTATTATGTTCCTCTGGTCATTCTACTAATACATATTTAACGATAACTCAATGCATCTGTCATAACGCAGACGACAACGTTCACTGACTTCATATTTTATGATTATTATCAATTGCAGTACAGCAACGAATATCACCCGTCGATGCAGTTATTATTTCACGACTTAACTATTATCATCCTACGAACGGGAACTACGCATTTAAATTCGAATTCACTCATCACTAGTCAATGCGATTTATTCTGCTGCGGCTCAACAGAACATATATTTCGCATATTTCACTATTTTGTCAGCATCACAGACCAATTTCTGTCATATTCTACTGTACTCATTTTGACGATTTATTGCCCTGTCATACCCACCAACAATTTATTACTATTTTCACGATAATTTGAATCACTCATACAAACGTGTTATTTTATCGTTCAGACAGTCATAGCATTAGTACATGTTAATTTTTTGTACGCTCATTAATTTGCTCATATTCGCATGCTAACGTTTCCATTTTTGTCCGCGTCTTTTCTATATTCAAGTATGACATTTTCATATAATACACTCACCCCTCATATGACACTGTACTTTATTGAGTGTTGTACAATTTTTTGGCTACTTAGTGTTAGCGTTAACTTCATATCACTTCAGTGTTATTTTCGAAAACAGACATTTTTTAAATGTGCTATTTTCTACGAGGGGGCTATGTAGTGTCAGTTATTATGGCAAGCCCATATACCTTTATTCTAACTTCCGGACATCCTATTTTATTCATTTTACTTGAGCCATATTTTGACCTTGTCAATTATTCGCTTGTCAGTCTTGACTGTTTTTTTATATGAGCGTATATGAGTGTACATTTCATGTCACATGATTCATTGTATGTCTGTAGCTTATTTTGTCTGCCTATAAATATGGAATAACACTTGACTAAAACGGAGTTGGCTTCCCAGCCATCTTCCCTGTGCGTCATTTTGCTTGGCTCTGTTTCATTCACTTCATATACAAAATATATGTATTCAAATGCCATTCTCGTTAATCGACTTATTTAATTCCGTTATGGACTAACGCGATCTAAGTCGACGATGATAAACGAGAATAGGTGATAACAAACATTCGTACAATCTAAATGGAGTCAGATTCACGGGCCACTAAAGTGGTGAGCCCCATGACGTAAAAACAGGGGAGATTTGATATTCGTCTACTATTTTCAGGTAAAGCTGTGTTTAACCCATATTGCCCCCAAGTCGCTCGCTCATGAGTGAACTAACATAAACCTCTAGTACCTGTCGGGTGCTGTGATGTTACAGTGGACAGCCTCTACAAAACTTTCGCCCATGTTCTGAGTTGCTGACTTTTACTAATGACGAGTGCGGAACAGTTGAACCTACAGCACAATAACTGGGATTACCTTGTTGTTGGTAAAGAAATATGTTATGATCATCTGCAACCGAAAGAACACAGTTTATGTAATTGAAATGGTTGAAAACTCCTAAGTGGTAATGGAAACTGCAAATTATGAACTTACGACAGCATGTATTTTCTACTGATGACATAACGAGACATCTATTACCTGATGCCGATTCCGATGCAAGTCTGGATATGTATTTATATCTTTCGAATGATTACTGTCACCAGAATTTAAAATGATCTGATATAACAAAGACCGATCTGCGAGTCTTCGTTTTCTGGGTAGTTCTGTTCGCAAGAAGCCTTTCATTAAAAATTCCTTATAAGTTTTCCATAGTACTAATTTGCTTCGGTCATATATGTCAAACTAGATGTATCCACCAAGTGAATTTGGATGACATTCTCATGATTAACTTCAATTATTCACAGCTGCTTGAAGCATATTGCTGCAACTCATAAAATACAGAAATCGAACGATAAAACTGGTCTACATAATTGCTTCAATACATTTATTTTGAAAATATTCAAACTGACTTCTTCCGGCAGTATTTGAATTAGCAATAACTACCCCATTGCTAGACGGATTGCACCACAGAAAAAGTCCTCATTATAATGAGGTTTGAAATAAATGCACGGTTGTTTATGGCGAGGTTCACTGATAATATTTATGACACCAGTGCATCACTGTTGTTTCAATATCCCAATTGCTTCCACTGGCGAATGACTGGTGTTCTACCCTACTAGTTGGTTTTATTCATTCAGAGTGAAAGCAAACTATGTATGTAGTCGGCTCCTGATCTTTGTTAACTTGGGGTTTGCGAATAGTTACCAGATTGAGAACCTACTAATAACATTTCTAATCCCTAAAAACAGCTAAAAGAAGAGAACCTCAACATCACCTAGTGAAAAGGTCTGTGTAACTTAGGACGGACATGTCACATGTATGTATATATGCCGTTTCAAAGAACTAACAGAGTATCTTCTCTAGGATAATCAATTTGAGAAGCCCCAAGCAGTGAATTTTATCAAATGATTGAGTTCGTAATTAAATAGATAGGTGAAGCTTATTAACATTAGTAACAACGTTGTATCGTTGTTAAATGAAAATCAGAATGACCTACCAAACTACTAAAACACTCTATGCACAAACTTCTGAATCCAGGGTCCTAAATTGACCATATGTAAACACTGCTTGCTATAAAATAAAATCCCTCGAGCTTGCACGACACAGTAAAGATTACTCTGTAGAACATCAGTCGCTCACAACGACACTTACGAAATTAAAACTCTTTATACTCTTATTTCCGAAAATAGAACTAGACTGAATCATGGACCATCTACCACCAGATAAGCATATATTTACTGATCAGTTCAACCTAGGCACATAAAACAATCACAATTAACGTAACAGCATAAATAGAGTCCGGCAGTAAAACCGAGTATTTAGGGAACGATCATTTACAATAAGTTGATCATCAGGCCCAACAGATATAAGTTTATGATAAATGTATTTGCTTGTGGTTGAATTAAGTATTGTAGGATGAAAACCTTTAACAGGATAAACACATTAAAACAAGCCAATCGTAGACTAGAAAAGTTGCTTAAGGGGTAGGAAATTATAATCAAGCTGGGAAAAAGTGAATTATATGGACAGTAAACCATACGAGAAGTGTTATGTTGTGGCGATCAACATATCAACGAAGTCACATGAATACAACACGTTACAAGAATGTTATAAAGGGAATTATTATGATTATAAGAACACGTGAATAAAGAAAGATGAGTATGCGACTCAGAATAGAACAAGGTAGAGATACATAAAGGGGTTGACAGTGAAAGTCCATAACAAAACGCCATATGGGGTGACCGGACTATGAACGAAAATGGACAGAGAAACTGAATGTAACTCTTCCAGGTGCATAGATCTTTCTTCTTGAAGGCTACGGTCATGTAGACTAGGATCTGCCACGCCCCTACTGGCCGACTGTCCACAACTTACTGTAAGAATATAGGCTTTTATAAAGCAACCTTAAGTGTTTATAGATACTGCATCTTGAACTTATTCAACCAATATAAAAATGTCCCCTACCACACCATCTGACATATAGCTCAATCGTAGCACCCTCGACTTATAAATGTACTCTAGTAATGAGGTTAAGGTCCTGTGAAGAAGTCTTCGTTTTCGAATATTCCATATAGGTTTTAAATTTACTTAAGTTTAGTGAAAAACTAGTAGCAATAAAAGCAGTAAGTATGGAGTGCATATAAAACTATTTACTTGGCTACATGTTCAAATGCAAATGTAACGACTCAAAAACAAGTTCAGGCGTTCGATGAATAAGACGAACATGCACAAATTTGTAGAGTATCTCCCTTTCAACGTTCAGTCTGTGTCCAATATCTAACCCTTTTCCATTTACTTGGTGAGTGAAAGCTGCACTTCATGCCATAATCTTTAATGAGGATTCCACTTGAAGCTCTATCACTTTGTTTGCTTTCCTCATCTGGTGGGTTGGGATGTGCTGCAGCAACGTATTTATAGAAGACACACGTAATTTTAGATTTTTGAAATGGAATTCTCGGTAGGAAATAATGCTTTAATGTGTGTCGCGCCTACTAAATGAGAAGAAGAATGTTAGACATTGTACTTTAACTGGATATTAGGAAGGGATGATTATCCTTGTCCGTGTTCAAGTTTTATTTGCAGTTACTCATCAGAAACAGATCACATCATCTTAAATATACGTAATTAAAATTTAAAAAATCGATGATTATCTATGTACATAATATTTACAGTTTCTAATGATAATTTCACTAAACATGCGGGAATCTAGAAACGCGTCATTATTTTACAGATGGGAGATCTACAGAATTTGAGATGAGAATATCAATTGTATCCTTTATACAGGTTCATCTATTTCCTAGGAAATAAATAAGATGATACTTGACAAGTATAAAACAAAAGAAAAAACGAAACAATATAAAACTTGAACGACATTACTTATATACATTGTTGTAAACTTACAACGTAGGGATAAAATAACTGTTTGGTTATTTAACTGAAGTTCGAACCGAAGATTACTTTTGAGGGAGGGGTGATTAAAAATCTGAAATCCAGGAGGGTACACTGAGAACTCAGTATACATGACGAAATATACATCCACTTACTAAAAATGGGTAACGGTATAATTAGGTTCACTCAATAATAAGCTTTAATTTGACTCACCACTTATATTTACATCTTTGTCCGTCCATAAATTACTGTTAATTATTCATGACTCATCACTTGTAGTGTTCTAGTTTAGTACATACCGTGGTTTATTAACGACAGTGTGTCATAATTTATATACATGATCATGTGTTTTGAAATCTGAATAATAGAAATTAGTGTGCAGTTCCTGTCTGAACACCCTGAAGTCGGAAATATGCCATAACAATTAGAGTGCAATTACACAAAAATATCATTTCTTGCATTTTGGGTGACTACCAATGAACTATTTATATAACTCACCACCGAGAAACCAAACAAGTAAGAGGTAATTCTATTAAGTAAGTGACTGATCATATTTTCTAGCAGCTTATAATAACCCCAGATAAAATCTAAACGGCAAATTAAACACACAAGCAAAGGAGCGAAATGCAAAAGAAAGTTTTCCTCGGTGTAGAGAGTCATGAGTATTTATATTAATTAACATGACCTTAATCGTCCAGAAAGTTCTACAAGTATAATAAATATACGAGTAAAAAGGTAATTATCCAATTAAAAATGTAACCCGTGATGTCACCCTACTAGATGTTACGAAGAAACGTCCATTCAATCCTAATTGCATAAAATATTTCCAAGAGTTTTCTGGGACCCTACTGAGTTTTCTGAGGAGCACTTTGAAACTACCTAACAACCTAACTTCTATTAAAATATAAGACTTCTTCAGACAGCAGATATAGCAATGAATTCGATGTGAATCATTGGTTTTTTACTCTTGTTCTTATCAACTATTCACTCTTTTATTATTATTCAATACTATTCGAATCAATCATCACTTTATTTAAGCGCTGCTCTTAATGTGAATAATATTTGGAAATAATAAAACTACAAGGCAGATTGAAGATCATCACTGAGCTTTACTTACTTACTTACGCCTGTTACTCCTCGTGAAGGAGCATAGGCCGCTCACCAGCATTCTCCATCCAACCCTGTCCCGGGCAATCCTTTCGAGCTCCGCCCAGTTGTAATTCATCCTTTTCATATCTGCTTCTATTATCCGACGTAATGTGTTCTTTGGCCTTCCTCTTTCCCGCTTCCCTTCAGGATTCCAAGTTAGGGCTTGCCTCGTGATGCAGTTTGACGATTTGCGTAATGTATGTCCTATCCATTTACATCGTCTTTTCCTAATTTCTTCTTCAGCTGGAAGTTGGTTTGTTCTCTCCCACAGAAGGCTGTTGCTGATGGTATCCGGCCAATGGATGTTGAGTATCTTGCGAAGACAGCTATTTATAAATACTTGTACTTTCTTGATTGTGGTTGTTGTAGTTCTCCAAGTTTCAGCTCCATACAGTAGAACTGCCTTGACGTTCGTATTGAAGATTCTCACTTTGATATTGGTTGAGAGTTGTTTTGAGTTCCATATGTTCTTCAATTGTAGGAATGCGACCCTTGCTTTGCCGATCCTCGCCTTTACGTCTGCATCGGATCCTCCTTGTTCATCGATGATGCTTCCCAGGTATGTGAAGGATTCTACATCTTCCAGAGTTTCGCCATCAAGTGTGATTGGATTGCTGTTCTCCGCTTTGAATTTGAGGACCTTAGTTTTCCCTTTGTGTATGCTGAGGCCTACTGATACAGAGACTGCTGCTACACTGGCTGTCTTCATCTGCATCTGTTCGTGTGTACGTGATAGGAGGGCTAGGTCATCTGCGAAGTCCAAATCGTCTAATTGGTTCTGAGCTGTCCATTGTATTCCGTGTTTTCCTTCAGATGTTGAGATCTTCATAATCCAGTCGACCACCAGAAGAAAGAGGAAGGGAGAGAGTAAACAGCCTTGTCTGACTCCGGTCCTTACTTGGAATGCATCTGTCAGCTGTCCTCCATGCACTACTTTGCACTGTAGTCCGTCGTATGAGTTCCGGATAATATTGACAATCTTCTCAGGAACTCCGTAGTGTCGAAGAAGTTTCCATAATGTCCTCCTATCTACACTGTTGAATGCCTTTTCATAATCAATGAAGCTGAGCTTTAGCAAACCTTTTTAAAAGCCAAGGGTCATTTTTTATCTCACAAATTTAGATAGTATTAGTGAAATAATCAATCTACAGTGAGACTATATATCTAAACAACTAAAAATATAATGAGGAAAATAAACGATAGAGAAAAACTAGGAAAACTATTCTTCAAGCCATAAGAACTCACAGTTTTCTATGTGTAATTACAAACAATTGAGTTATGCGTTTCTGCTATTCCTGTAGCCTTAAATTTTCAGCTGATCTATAGACCGTCACTGTCATACATTATTCCCAAAATATTGTAAATAAATCGAGGTTGGTATCCTGATTTTTACTTTAATTGCCTTATTTTTTTTAGACAAATTATATTTCCAATTTATTGTGTCGAGGTCTAGATGTCTTCAACCAACTGATCAGTGTCTGTAAAGTAGATTATTAGTCAGCTAATAGGAAATTTCCTACTCGCGAAACCAAATTATTCACAACCGAATTCACGCATTCAGTCTCAAGGCTACACTAGGTAGCCTAGCATACACAAGGACGTTTACTAGTCCCAGAGCAGATTTTCCTAAACATTTAACAACATAACCAGTGGACAGATTGAGGTCATAACAGTTTAGAAGGTATACATGTCTGTCGTTGATTGCGTTACAAATACATGGTATGTTTTTAAAACGGTAAACAAAAAGTGTACCTTTAATATCCGACCAACCATATATAGACTGCCAGTGACAAAAACATCACAACAAGTTGTATTATCGGCTTCATCATAATTACTATATTCACACGGAAAATATTTCAAAGCCTGAAGAGAAAAACGCTGCAAGTTTTGCATCCACTTTATAAAAGCAGATAAAGATTTGACATGCTTTGAAGCAATTGAATGTGATGCAGAATTACTACCGGTGTTCGATTCCGATTCGAGTTGACGCCATATATTGAAGCATAATTCATCATGCGACTCTTTACTGGGAAGAATTTCTAGAAAACATAAATAAAAAGTCGATTTACTATTTATTATTAATCAACTAGAATTTACTAATGAGAAATAAATGTTGAACTGATACAATATTAATGTGAAGACTAATCGGACACCCAAACCGAGATGGATGGTTAACTAAGAGTGAATTACTTTGAACATTTGACCTAAACGTCCAGTTCAAAATCTAACGGGACAACATCAAGAGACGAAGTGCCACGATAGCCAATGACTAGAGCGATTTGCTGCACCATTCATTCTCTTGATATCTATGTGGACAATGGTTTCAAGTCAAGACTTTCCAACTTCCCCGAGAGAGTCCTTCGTATCCACTAGCCCGGCTTAAGAGTACGAATTCCATCACACTTTCTCCTCTGTAAAAAACATAGCATTTTAAAAAAGTAGGAAGAACGTGCTTAGAAGGAGTTATAAATGAGCGATCATATGTAGGAACTTCAAGATAGAGAAAGCGATCCCATCCAATTCCGTCATACTAGAGTATTTCATTATTCGAATAAACGAAAAGTTTACTAGTACAGAAATCGAGTAGCCATTATACTAGTTATAGTGACTTGATGTATTGCTATACTTGGCTAAGATTGCCCTCAGATGAACTCACTAGTACATGACTAAAAGTCTCAGAAAGGAGCACTATTACAACACTCAAAGTTTCTGTATGCAGAGAAAGCTACTGAACTAACGTACTTTTACTGAAGTTTGGCTACAATCAAACGAAATAGGATAGAAAGATCTAGAGCCGAGTATATATATATGATACGTACAGTTGTATTAGCGTCAGCGTTGACCATTGTTTCAACGAACATTCAATCTAACCATGATAAGCGTACAACGTTCCGGTTGGCTTACAGCAGTATCAAATGAAGAGGAGTGAAAAGAGTAACACTGATTACAGTGGTGAGGTAAATGCAACGACCACGTTATGAGATGAACGACTGATATTAAAAAAATGTATAATATCACACGAAACCCAGGATTTATGAGATGATCGAATTTTGGCAATGTTAACCAAAAATTACGGCTAATAAACAGATGTTAACCATCAAGGCTATATCCCCCAGCACACAGCTTAAACAAATCGACAATGACTCAGTGGATTTCTGTCATGTCTTGGATTGGTCGCCTCATTTTCCAATGTTCCCCAGTAAAATACACCCAGCCAGATAGAGGCTGGACATACGTTAAGTATTTTCTAGCCAGTTTAATCAATGAAACGCCACGAATCTAATATTTACATAATGATTTTAAAGGGAAATTTCGTCTGAAAAGCAAATGAGATGTGGAAAATGAATATCAAAAGTTTAAAAAATGGAGCTTGATTTAATCGAAGTAAATAATCAAGTAACAAGAAAACCTTACGTGCCAGTATACGAATATCTGCACAGATTTAACAATACAGTCCTATTCGATAGTTTATCATACCTAACAAAATACTATAATATTGAATTCAGCCTAAATAAATTTGTTTGAAAGACCGTACAATCCTCAGATCTACACAGATTCGTACTAAATTATGCGATTCTGGTATAAATCTACGCACTTTCATAGTAGTTACACATATATTCCTAGAATCACGTTAGAGAGTGCCTCGACAAAGAAAGAATTGCTTCACGTTTCATGAAGAGATAGCATTAAGAATAATGTAGATTAGATAGAATTACCAAATTGACCATCGTGAGGATTGGCAAAAACAACCAAATCGAATGCGAATGAGGAAGACTGAAAAATAACAAAAATTAGCAACATGAAATATATATTATCTAATAATATAAGTGTATAGTGATTGCATTATTTATCACATACATATACTGCATAAATATCAAAGTGTAATATTTAAATAGAACTGAATAGTTTGAGAGAAAGCTAAGGATGGTCGAAGCAACACGTGACTTCAGTTCATAAAGTTAGTGACGGTTGATCTGGGCCAAGTTAGTAGATGCAGGTTACCTTGTTGATTTCTTCAAAATAACCTCAATTAGTGATTGGAGACGTTGAGTGTCAATTTTGAATCCCTATAATGGTGTAGACTCATTTGTTTCTTTTCTTTCAATCAATCTTAAGTTTCAGTGCTCTTACAGACATACCTTTTTATTCCGTTTTCTAGAACCAAATTCTTAATTTTGGATATTTCCCACTGCCGTTAGTGGCAGTGACACACTTGATGGAGAAGCTCCGGGAGAGTTGGGAACTTTTACGTACCTGAGCAGTATCACTGATAAATAAGAATCTAATGCAGATGTGAAGGCATGAATTAGCAAAGCAACTGCAGCATTCCTACAATTAAAGGGTATCTAGAGATTAAAACAAGTGTCAGTCAATATCAAAATCAGAATTTTCAGTACGAAAATCAAGGCGGTTCTATCGTACCAAAATGAAACTTAGAAGACTACTACAACTGTCATCAAAAAAGTACAAGTATTTATCGAAAGCTGTCTACTCAAGATGATTCAGATCATTTGACCAGACATCATCAGAAGTAATCTACTGTGGCAGAGAGCAAAACATCTCCACCTGAGGAGGAAATCAGGAAAAGATGCTGGAGGTAAATAGATTACACTATTGAAATCATCAAATTTCATTAAAGATAAAGACCTAACTTCTAATCCCCAAGACAAAAGGAAGAGACAGATCAAGCAACAAATTAAGGCTGGGAATTGTAGACACATCAAGAACAGCAACTGGAAAGTAGAACCGAACACAAAGCTAGTTGGAGATCCCTGATAGGTGGCCTAGGCCACACGAGAGATGATAGGCATAAGCAGGTAGTTGGCAGTACAATTATTTTTACTCCCTTGCCATTCATTATGTTAATTCTATACCATATCGGTGATGTGGGATAGTAACTTGGGCTAAGACACAATTTTTGTGTCCTTTACATTAATTATGATTGACTGCTAAGGCGTTTCTTGAGGAGTCCGATGTTCCTAGTTTTAATTTAAAACACTGTTATAATTCCCCTTATTACGACCAGCTACTCTTATTGCTTAGTATTCTTGGACACTACTCCACTCGACAAGTCCCCAAATCAGAACACGGTTGAGCAGGAACGTAATTATATTCCAAATAAAAAGGGTGGATGGGAGTAGGAATCACAATAAGAGAGACGTTGGTATATTTATAGTTTTTCCGTAAGAAAATTCTAGTCTTCTCCAAGTGTCCACTAGCGCTAACTGGATAAGAAATAGCGAATCACAGTGCCCCCAATATAATCCAGTACGAAGCATGCTTTAATTCAAATTATATCCCTCTAACAAACTGAGTCACGAAGTTCCACAGATAGGAACGTTACAGTTGACTTAATCAAATTGAGACTACAGCCTGGAATAGTTATATCAATCGGTTAAATTCTGAGTGGTGAGGTCAATTTTAACGATGGAGCCTTAATCTCAAATGAATTATGAACTATACAAAGTCCAAATTTGTGAAAGAAATTTTTCCCAGATTTAATTATTTCCTTGCAATAGAGTGGACCTGGAATAGGTATTTTTTATTACGAAGAGATTGGAATATCAAATATTTATGGAAACAAATGTGAAAATTTCCCACAAATTCTATCCAGATGGAGAATTTCCGAGAATATTAGTAAATATCCATTTCAAAGAATCAGATGAATAATTTCTAATAACTAAAGCTGTCATTGAAATTGTATTAATGCATGTGTCATTAAGGTCTAGGAGATACTATAGGTAAGTAAGATAGTAACTTATTCCATACGTATGATAATTGGCCTTCAGCTACAATTTTCGTGTGAGTGCTATTGTTACTACACAAATGACCGAACTAAAGCAAATAAATCTTAGTTTGAAGCTATGATCTATAAATTGAAAATAAGGTTTTTACAAAGAATAAGTAATTACACCAATTTACATTCCTGTAATCAAATTATGGCTACTTATAATCACTGAGATTATTCACATTGTAATAAAAAACCGATATGATTCTATTAGAAAAGGAATCATTTCACCGACAAAGCGCTTGACATAATCGTTTCCTGATAGGTGAAATATGATATATAGAAATAGCAAAGCGATTAAGAAAATAAGGGGAAATTAACAACGATTATAATTAATAATTCGGGTTTCTTCAACAGTGAGCAACCACGACCCTGCTACACAAGATCAAATACATGACCATCCAGCGAGGAAGATACCTTAAGACTACTGAATTGAAACGTAGACTGTCGGACTCCAATTTCGTTGCTCGACAATAGAATGTTAGATACAGGATCTGTTTCGAATAATGTAAAGTCATAAGTATTTACGTATAAGAAAAGTTTTCAACTGAACCAATACAGTTGTTGTTGGAAATACTAGATCCCAAGAACGCACTTTGTAATTTTATTATGGAAATCGGAATTTCTCATTTTCGCGCCAAAAGCTCACACATTTACCTTCAGCTTGTATCTCCCACCTGAAAGGACCTTGGATGTGATTGGTTCGTTTCCTCTTTTAGTACGCTAAATTGTGACGTATACCAAGGACATTTGTGTACTATATATATATACGCATAAGTTGTGTGTTTGTTCGTTTGTGCTTCCGGCCGATTGTGGAATATATATTTCTCCTGGCCAAATCTGGCCTTCTCCCTCACTGGAATTGCTTAGTTTGCCCTGTTGTTGTGTTGCTAACTTTCGTCCCGTTAGCCGGTTCTAGATGATATCATGATCTCTATAAACATAGCAGTTGTACAGTTCGCTCTGCTCTTTAATAGCTCTTGAAATCATATACGTTCATAACTGAAAATTATCTTGAAATGATACAAAATATTCACACACCACTACCATAGTAAATAATAAACATTAAATTCAAAGTGTAAATAACAAAACTAAAAAGAAATTATTACACTCAAAAACTCTTACTTGTAAACATTTTAAAAATGGCTCAGGATCTCGTGGACCAATTACAGTGAAAATAATAATTCGTATAGGACGTCTACCAAACAAATAAGAATATTAGAATGGGAATTAATCATGTTAAGATAAGTGCAACACTACGTTACGTGACAAAGAGAGAGAGAGCGAAAGAGAATGAAAAATCTATCCTACGTTTCAATAGAACAAACTCGTGAAATAAAATAAATTGTTAGTGTTGAGATGACCAATATGAAACGTTAACTTGAACCAGCTTATACGCTAAATGAAATTATGAGACTCATGATTAGAATGAATAAAGGTCAAACAGAATAAGAGAAATGTTAGTTTAATTACAAATTCGATTAAATATCTGGAGGAAGATACAAGGTTATATGAATTCAATAAGAAATAATAAACTGCATGAGGTACATGATACCTTTTGATAAGTTGATACACGATTCATTTTAAGAATTTTGATTGTACTAGTTAGTTTCTCTTTTCTTTCCTTTTCATTTGTTATCAGTGTTCTTTTTAAAAGGCTGGAGGCAACTAATAACTTTGTATTGCTGGGGTGTGAGGATCAAATCTAGCAACATACGCTCATTTCTTATCTTTATGAATTCATTTACTAATTCAAAGCTCAAAATTACTTCATATGAAAGAATTTTGATCAAATTAGCACATAAATGGACTGAGATTTTCGTAAATTGTGGTCTACTATCACTTCGTTAATACATTTAACAAAGTGATAGAGAGAAGTCAGTGAAGAAGATTTTGTTTTGTTTTTTCACTCATCGGAAAATACAAATAATAACACATTCTTTATCGAATGTCCAGAATTTTTCCAACCAATAGATTTGAACTTGGCTTGGACACTTATACACTCTGATTTATTCATATTGATCAATAATTTTGCAGTATTGTATTAGCTTAGTCACAAAAGTAAAGTAAGATTCCAATAATTTCAGTCCCCTGTGCTAATGGGTTATGGCAACTTGGAAATATTTACACACGTACCAGGTCCTACGTTGCGCTTGATTGACTGACTGAAATATTAGATTATGACGACCAGAGGGTAGAGTAAATGAGCAAGAAAAACTTTCGTCAATAAAAGGAATAAAATGGTATTCAACATTTTAAAAAATGTACGAAACCATACCTGTTATTATTCGAAGCAAAGCTTTCATTCTGAAACCATTTTATTGCAGACTGACAAGAAGAAGAAAGATCAAACAGTACAAAATACACATTATGAGTGATCTGTGAGAACGTGAATTGAAGTATGACGAAATAACAGTTAAGTTACAAGATGATCAAATACAGACAGTGGAGAGAAAATTGAAAACCTACCATCTAGTTGGTTAATACCAGTATATATTAACTATTAAGTTACCGCTGAATATTTACACAGGAAAGTCTAACGAAAAGTAATATCTGAAGATACGTAGACAATTTCACCAATAGACATATAAATATATTGAATAAACAATGATTTCAAGATTTATTCAATTACTATTTTCTTCTTAACAAAACAAATGAAGTATCATCGATCTATGTTGATATGATTATATGGAGATGGTAAAGAGTCCTGCTAGTGTTCATTGAGCTAGTTGGCTTAATTATAAAACTATTATTTGCCTATACAGTATTGATAGGATATGATTTAAGAAAATGAATTTGTAGCTAGGATTTCTTTATAGTGGCTAGTAGATTGTCCGATCGATATGAGATTTGATTCATGGTTATCTGGAAGTAAGTTGTTTACTGAATATGCATATATATTCCAATTTCCTCTATTCCTGCGTGATCTTAGTTGATAATCATTTTTCTGACTAACTAATAAACAGATCGGGGATCATGTAGGAGTGAAGACCTTAGCGGTAAAGCTTTTGTGAATTCACTACTTTCCTCGGTCTGACTCTATTAAAAAAACTTTCCAATTCAGTTTATTTTCGTCAATATCTCAGAGACTGAATAGTCAGATAATAGTTTATCGTTTCGATAACTATCATAAACAATTTCAGTAGTTATATATAACAAATGATTTGAAAGAGAACAGATGGCGAATGATTCTATACTAAGATGCAATGGCCATCCAGTGTTTCCAAGTTATCAATGATTATCAAAGTATCAGCCCGTGATTTAAAATCCATGAAAATCCTACCAAAAACTGTAGGCCAAAAATTTTAAACTGCTTGGATCGCTGCAATAAACATGTAACTTATTTACGAAGTACAGATTTATGTATCCTAAAATGAACTATACATCTGGTTTCATGGCTGGAATTACTTAATGGATGGTCAAATCGAAATCGGGTGGGCAGAGTTCAAAGTTATAACTAAAAGTCGAGTGATTTAACCATCAAGCTAACATCCTACACGACTAGTATCTAATAATCCTATCATTATGTTGTGAACGGGGAATTAAGAAGCCCAGACAATTACGAAAGCTATTTTCTTGGGACGTTATTGCATTTCATTCAAACCCTGTAAAACACTTATATTTATTTTTGTCCCTATCTTATTCTACATAACACGAGCTTTCGTTCTATGTATCATTCACTAGCATACCTTTTTTTGTTCCGAAAATATTGTAATTTAAACATAATATTTTGCACTGTATTTTCTACACTAATTCCCTGTTTCGGGCATAACTGTATTTTTCCAAATTATCATACGTCGTGGTCAAGATATTCACTTATTTATTCATGTACATTTTTGTACTAATCCGAATTCAGAGAATCCAGAGTTCAGTTTCCAACTGTCTTGTCTTCTTTCACTTGCGTGCTTGCCAACCAATCAGGGTTTAGAATAGTTCTCTCTACCCCATCTCGAACTCACGCGTATTAGACTCAAGGTTAAGCCGCTCAGCCTAACGCGTCAAGGTCATGATTCAGACTAGACAGATCAAGGTGAAGTCATAACAAGTATCCGGGTTAAAGCGATTCAAGGTCATAACACATTATATATATATATATATATATATATATATATATATATATATATAAATCAGAAATATGGACTGTAATTCTGCTAATCATAGCGAAAATGAATGTAAATTACGTAGTATATTGTAATTTGCTATTATAAATGCCAATTAATAACTTTAGTTGGTATAATCCCCATAAACATTAAAAAATTTTCAAACTCATTATTATTCACTGATTAAAACGTCTATTTGCTAGTGTGGCAAGCGATATGATGCAAGATTGCAAGCAGTGGTGTTGAAAAAGATTATGTAAACAAATGAATTTACTAGTTTTTATAACACTACAGTTATAGTCATTTTAATTTACACGATATCATTAATCGTCATTATTATGTCTTGTGGCCGCTGAACAAGACCACGTGCCCAGTCAACAATCAGAATCGCGATCCTAATTTCGTCTATTTCGCGCCCATCATTTACTCTATAGCTTAGTGTCTCTGACATGGCCAATTACACGCCCTACCAGCACTACTAACCTCAAGCTGACACAACCAAGTTTTTATTCGTCCACGGCTCCGTAGCTCCTCTCTATGCCCTGTTTTGAGTCTCGAAGTAGAAATCAACTCCTGATATGTCTCTAAATTAGGCAGATGCGGTTTATATGCAGACAGACAAGACCAGATCGACCCATAAAATGAAAAATAACAATTAAATATAAACGAATAAAAAAGTGGCTTTGAAAGAAAGAGAGTAATCTAGTTACTTGATAGTTATACAATAAGAATGTATGATAATCTATAAAAAAATCTTTCATTAAAACCACTTTATTCTGAGTTATTTTCACTAGTCACAATCGATTTGTTCATGAATACAGTTATTGAACAAATAAATGGTTTGAGTTTCTATATATATACTTAGTGTTCAACTTTACGTGCACCTTATTCTTACACTAATTACATAAGATGAAGTGATTTGCATACATTATTTACAATTTTTAAAATGATAGTTTTGGCACAGTTTCGTCTTCTGAACTGAATGATTTAATAGTGAAATTTCCATTATTACACTGAACATCATCAGTACAAACTTTAGATAGAAGTGAGTTATTCGAATTCTTTCTCATACGACTGATAGTTTGCCTTGTCGACCTTGATCGGCTATTATTGACCTTTACTTTATCATTGTCGGCATATTCATTTTGAATATTTTCCACCTGTGACTCGATGATTATTGATGCTTTACCGAAACCACCCACCTGAGCTACAAATCTTTGCCATCATCAATTAAAAGTTTAGTATGCAGCTCAATCATTTCAATAAAACAACTAAAAAATTTGTAAAACACAAACAGTACATTTCATGGTGATTACACAATTAATTACATGCGAAAATTACAATTCCTTTATTTAGCCAAATTATACTCACTTGTAAACTTTCTACAGTATGTGCACCATCCAGATAATAAGTTATATTTTTTCGAATTACAATTTGCCATCGACCAGGCCATCGGGCGGATAACGCATCTTTGGAACAAATAAAGCCCACAGCAAATATACATATCGCTTAACCTCTAGACTAATTAGCTATTATAACAACATTTAATAGATAGTTGACATCCATCCTACAAATATCCTCGTCTTAACAGTTTTCGGCCATGTCTGGTTGAACACATACAAACTTCAGGCAATATTGACCTCTTTATACATAATTTCTGACTCAAAATCATTTTAATTTTCATAACGAAAAACCTTTTTACGTAATTATGGGCTGTTATATTCGAAAGCACATTTTCTCAGCTATGAATGACTTTTAAGGTTAATTAACTATCCCGTTTGCAAGATCCTACTATAGTGATTTATTTCTATATTTAAACGTATATAGCAATTTGTACTAGTTTAAGTGATACGTTAGAACAATTCACTGAAATAGATGGAAAATAACTGCTTCCTTGTGAATTTGTAAGTTTATTAGTTTTCACATACTATAATCGCTACTGTAATTAGAAATCAGTGTCTATCAACATACCCGATAAACAGGTTACCGAATTTTGCTAGTTTACTTTGTATTACATGTATGGTAGTCCTACTTATATTGAAATTATATACACGTAATTTTTATCGATTTTCTGTTGTCACGATAATTGAAGACTACACTCTACTTGTTCAATAGAAAAATCAATTCCCATTTTCATCTCAATATCTATTACTAACCAGTTGTATCATATAGGGCTCGAATAGAGTTGATGTAGCTTTTCTTTCTATAGTTACACAACAGTTGGACCGTTGCAGGCCCCCAAATGCCCTGGTACGGCCGAGAGTCTGCTCTCCCTCTCGGAATGCTTTTACACGGCCACGCGTATACAGCCTCTGCCAGGGAAGTCCTACTCACTGTCTTCTCGTAGCGGGGGTGTTGTTTAAGAAAATAAGAGGACGAAAAGCGAATGTCCGGCGCATTAAGTGGATTCCAAACCAATGATGCAGATGGGCTCCAGTATCCTAAGAGAACAAATGGCGTATGAACCAATTTTCGGTCACCGGCTACCATGGGACTGCATCTCCTCACGATGGCGAGTAAAGCCGCTTGCGGCTTCGCGAAACGTCCTGCTTATAAGCACTGGGTTTCGTCAGGCTCTTTACAACTCATCGAAGCCCGTTAGTCTACTCCGGGTGACCGTGAGTTTGACCACAAACGAAGGATGTTACGCAAGGAAATCGGGAAAAGCTTGCGTAAGGACCGAGAAGCCTGGTGGTCGGAGCGTGCTAATGATCTAGAAGCAGCAGCTGCATTTGGTAACTACTGGAAGCTCTTCCAACTCATCCGAGCCACTGGTAGCAAGAAGTCTGATGTGAGTGAAACAATCTGCGAGGATGATTGGACGTCTTGAACGATGAGCAGAATTCTTCGAAGGGCAGTTCAACTGGCCTGTTGCTCCAGCAACACCGGTCAGACTGTCCTGTCCTCCATGGCCAGTGACGACTGATCCACTAAATGAAGCGGAAATCTGCAAAGAACTCCAACTCTTGAAGCGTTACAAATCACCTGGCCCAGATGACTTACCTCCGGCTCTTTTTAAAGATGGTGGTGACTTTTTGACTAAGGAATTGACGACGTTGTTTACAAAGGTTTGGGAACTAGAGAGTGTACCAACGTCATGGAATGAGTCGATAATTGTCCCTATCTTTAAAAAGGGTTCACGTCGTTCCTGTAACAACTATCGGGGGATAAGTCTACTTCCGATTGCGTCCAAGCTATTGGCTTCCGTCATACTTTGTGGATTGTCCAAAACTCGAGAAAGATTGACTCGCGAGGAGCAGGCTGGGTTTCGTTCTGGTCGAGGATGTAATGATCATATCGTGCATTATTTGCCGACTCTGGGACTGGTTGGAAAAAGCGGAGAGGTGGTCAGTGTATGAAATGGTGTCGCGGTATGAAAGAAAGCTGCAAAGGGCTGGTTTCTGTTGGTCCTTCACGACAACTTGACTGGGGTCCTAGAGATGGTGCAACACAGTGGCTAGAGACGTTATCAGATATGGCTCAGAATAGAAGCCAGTGGCGATCCTGCTGTAACCTTCTCTCACCTTCTTCATAACAAGTGGTTGGACCTTCCTTAACTGAAAGAATTCTTCTGATTGCATCTTTCCGTTTCCTCCATTATTATTATTACTACACTACCTTACACTAATCTGTAGTCGTTATTGTTCTTTTTTTCTTTTACGCTTCTCACCTTTTTTCTCTTCCCATTCTGATTGTTTTGTGTGGCGCATATATATTCAGTGCCCCCTTGTACCAATATTTATGTGTTAAAATAAATAAATGTGTGCAGTTATGCAGGTGACCGAATATCGCATGCACTGTGCTTTGGATGTCATATGGTCAGAAGTCAAATCAGTAGAAAACCCTGAATTTCGTTTCCGTGTTACCAGCAACTTCTCACTATCACGGTGCGAATTGGTAGGCATCATGCGATTCGAACCGGCATCACCAAGCGTTATCACTGAGTCATCAATGCTGTGACTGACATCCTGTAGAACTAAGATATTTATACGAACCGGTCATTGAGTAGTAACCAATGTCGCATATACAATAATCTTTTGCGTGAAGATTGCAAATATATCTTGCTGATGAATAACAAATAGCAGAAAATCTCCTGATCACTTCGGAACACCTAAAGTTAGAGCACGACACATGTTTTCTCGTTTTTCTTAAAGAGTGAAAACTTACTAAATAAAACAGTTGAACTCGGTTTCCATTCACATGTCGGCTGTAAACCTGGAACAAAAAAATGGAAGAATTACAAGGAGTAAAGTGCTGAAGAAAGGAATTCATAACATACTTGATACAATACATGGATCACGGTTTAATTAACCGAGTGTTCTGCAAGCTACCAAATCATGCCCAACAAATTAAGGGTAACAAGATTTATTATGAATCAAGTGAACATTTTGAATGCACATAACAAAAATCAACTAATTCTGATTTCTTTACGTGATTTCTCGAAAATAATCTACCATAGCCTGTTGAGGACTATGACAGTTGTTGAGGGGGAGCAGGAAAGCTGCAATGGAAACATTATGCTAGTACATAAGTTCAGTATGATTCATAGACTAACATCTCCTTCTATATCGGCACACCATTACTTTCCAGCTTATTTTCTATTGTTGTGGAGTGATAGCTTGCCCTTCAATCATTAGGTAGCAGATTCGAACGGCGATCCACTCTACTTCAGTCTGGACAATGGAGTAGTACCATCAATTGTTACACAAAAATTTGAGTGTCTAAACCTATACTTGGAGATTGTGTTACATCTGTCTGTCATATTGTTCACTGAAATTCGTGTTTAATATATACCTTTTTAACTTCATGAGATAATGGAGATAATATGAAATCTGTCACAAAATATCTGATCACTGGAAAAATTCAATTATTTGAGCTTTTTCTTATTGTACAGTTTGTTTAGGCTGTCTATATGATAGAAGTAACTGATTTAAAATTAATTTCGTGACAAGGTTTAAAATAGATTATTTTAAAAGTGTGACTCAATGAACTGATGTCCTGTTCTGATTTTTTTCAACATATTTCGGTCAACAGAGTGTAACGCATGTCCTAACCATCACAACTGATAAAGGCTTTATAATGGACTTACTTTGATTACTCAGTACTCTTAGCCTATCCTCACCACTCCACTCTATGTGGTCACATTATATACGGGGAATGTTTCGAAAATAAGTGTAATCAAATACTTGAAGTCTACACATATCTACTTTCATAGACTCTATTTCGCAGCAGCAGTATATTAGTAGAGAGCAGACTGAGGCGTAAAGTACTTGCCGTATGATCGGTCGGTAAAAAAACATCTTGTTCACAACGCAAGTGATGGAAGTTGGTAAAAGTAAGATTATATAACACTATCTCAACATCTGACATCATTGACATCCAATAATTCTGTTCGCAGTCGAAATGACCATTAAAACCAGACAAATTTTCAGAAACGAGAACCATTAAACTTTAACAAAACAATTAATCAGCATAAACAAACTTTTGAAAAAAAGAACATACAATTAAGGAGAAAATAATGTAATAACTAACCAATATTTGTAACGTTATCATTATTAGTAGTTCCATGTAATTTAGCAAACCAATAATTTATTGTAGTTAAACTTAAAGCAAGATTTAATAATTGACTGTTAGGTATGGTATTCATATTGTCAAAAATATCTTTAAATGGCTCAGTCATATTCTCTGTAGTCAATAGTGAATCTAACGTAGGTGCAACATACAATGGACACTGGAAATCAAAAATACAAAATAGAAGTGAGAAGACACAACATTTCGATCATGTATTCAGATAAATAAAAAGTAGACTAATGCATAGAAAGTTGAACTTTGCTTAGTTTGTCTATGAAAGGTTGGCATTTTCCTGTTAATAATTTTAGTGAAGGTAATTAATTGGTTTCTCATAGTATATGTGCACCTTGAGTGGAGTGCATCGAAATTGTCATGGAATTACATCAGTCAGTCAGCTACAACGTAGGACCAGGCACATATATGCATCGGTCCAAGTTGCCATACCTCATTAGCATAACAAGGTGAATACAAAATTCATAGAAGTGGCTACTTCAATGGTAGAAATATATAAAAGAAGGACTGCATATAAAGATATAATACAGGAAGAAAGAGTTAGTTTGTAGAAAGAAAGGTATAAAGTAATTTTAAGCTCATGGTTTAAGGCAACACAAAGAGCGTATACATTGATTCTGAGTCATGTTACCCAGAGCCTCCAACCACTGGTTACGATAGTCGCGCGGATCCCAACCATACTTCTAGTAAAGTTTTTATTAATTACTATTCAACAAAAGTAAATGATGAAAGTACTTGCTTTGAAAATCACTCGATTATTGATTCGAATACTATTTGATCTACTTTATACTAATTAGTCCCTTTGATAAATTTCAATAGTAATAAGAAGATGAAGATGATCAGAACTATGTGATATTAATGTATCACACATATACTTGAAAACATATATAAAAATAAAAGATCAACTAGACTAGAAATGGAGGGTAAGAGGAGACAAAAATAATAAAGAAATAATATGAAAACAATTTGAAACCTTATCACTCTGGATAATAAGCTAATATTACTAGGGTAGCTTTAAGGTGAGAATAAAGTGTTTTTTTGAATACACAAAGAGGGTTTAAATTTCCGTATGGCTAAGGGTTCAATAAATCTTAGTATACACCCTTTTACACTTTTGTACAACACCACAAAAGCCGAGTTAAGATAAATCTTATGGCATGTTTCATTATTCGAAATGTATGGAGCTAATTTATCACATAGTTCTGATAATCGTCTTATTTACTTTAGTTTGAGTAATCAAGTACTGTTATTGCATTCTTTCAACTAAAGTGTAGAGGTAAATCCTCAGTACCTGGATTTGTACGTGATGAATCAAATGAAAAGAAATTGTTTGTAATTATTTTTTAGAATTCAATTACACAACACATTCAGGACTTTGAATTTTTTCCGGTTAAGTTCGAGGAATATGATGTTCCATAAAAGATTTCTACATAGAATAGTTGAAAGCAAATTTATCAGTTTTTGCAATAAATTATTTGCTGTCCTTCATATTTCTTCATACATTATAAATGATTATCTATTGAACAAATATTATTCTTAAGATTAGTTAGTTTATGATGAGGATTTCATAATTTAGCGATTACGAAAAACTTGTAACTCTATAGAATTATCAAGGCAGGCATATTCAGGATCTAAAAATGTCAACAGAGACCGATCAACTGCAGTCCTGAGTAACAACCGCGAATTACGAACGCTTACTGACAAATACACGCGCATTGAAAAAGTCAGTGGTAATTTGTGTTCAGTAGCTCAATTGAGAGGAGAGTCCCGAATAAGACAAAACTCTCTTCATGGATTCTATTGACAGCCACAATAAGACCAATTACGATAATCTAAGTTATGAACTTTTTCTAATTAAAATAATCCAGTTATTCAGAAGGACATAAGTATATACTTAAAAATGCAAATAACACTGATTTGAAAATTGTTTTGTAACTATGAGAGTAAATCACGGAATGTTAGTTCATGATGAACAGAGAAAAAACTAGTTTTATATAGTAAACTAACCTACTTTTCCTGTTCATTTTAAATGGGTAGACAGATCGCACATTTAAATGATATTTAAAAAAAAACATAACGTGTACAATTACTTTAACAAGTTCAGCTTCTTCAACAAATTTATGCATTGCTTCATCTGATTGCCCATGACTGACTAATGCTATAGAACCAGTCTTTTTGAAGATTTACGTCATAAAAAGTTAGGTAGAATTAGAAATAAATAAATTAGCATTCGATCAAAACTTGGATTTCATAGGCAATAGACATTTCAAAATACAAATCTAGGATTCGATTGCTGTTAGAACTACCCGAGAATTATTTGAAGTTTTGAAAAGTTGGGAAATAAAGTTGAAAGTACGTCATCCAAACAGCATTCAATAGAAAGTTCCCAGAATATTTCATAAAAATGGTCGATTACGTATTATAATCTGACTGAATGATTGCTAGCAACTTAAGCATATCTCCAGAAACTCCCTGAGTATCAATATTACACGTAAACCTGAAAATAATCTTGTTTTCTGTACCTAGACAAACCTTGAAAGTAAACCTTTTCATACTTACTGTTAACTCATTTACCAGTACAGAGGTTCGTATACTTTGGACTACACTCTAGATATAAGTGCTAATGATACTAACTAGTTGCTCAAACCGAATTAGGTGGAGTGGGGTTCGAAAGAGTAACCTATTAGTTCAATGTCGAACGTCTTGATCGCTAAGCCAAAACTCAACAATTAGGCTGTAATAAATCTGCACTATTTATTAATAAAGCAATTCTACTACTAATTGCCACAATCACAGACAGTTGGTATTCAATGTAAAATAGGAAATGAAATGAAGAATATGAAGTCTATCCTGATAATGTTGATTATATTAAGGGTGATGGTAGTATTTTTTGCATCCTTGCTATTCTTGGAATTCTGTCTAATTTAAAGTTTATTTCTCAAATAAATAACCAGACAAGTGAATACGTAACCTGATTGTTTGAAATATATTGAGCCCATATTATTGATTGTTCTTGCAACTTTCTTATCCTCATAACACAACTCAAAGTATAGATTGAAACTTAATAATGAGAATTAATAGGGTCTATGAGGCCTACAAAACAATGATGTGATGTGTGGCTAGTAGAAGCACAATGTGATTGGTTACGAAACGCAGGTAGATAGGCCCTCAACTTACTAAATATTTAATGTGTGAATTCCTTTCCATTGGTGATTTCTACTTTGGATTCCCTGTTTGAGTGGACTGCTAGTGTTTATGTCTAATATATCTCTTTTTGGATCTGGGTTTTTTATTTTTTGTTGCGAATCTTGCAATATGATCACAATCTGTGTATAGAGCATAGGTAGACTATCCAAGCTAATGGTGGAATTGTATTAACAATTTCATTTCGCTATGCTAATACGATGTGGCAACTTGAACCGATCCATATATGTACCAGGTTACATGTTGCGCTTTACTGACTTACTGATAATGTGAAAAGTAACAGCTAAGATGGATACATGTCTTTACCAAAATCTTATGGTGTTTAAGTCTTTTCACATTTATTTACAAGAATAACCACGTATAAATACTTCAGCGAAACTGTCAGAAACGTCATTCAGGAATTTGCAAAACCACGTTTTCTAACTCTGTTATTGAGCAGACACTTAAATATCTATTCATCTTCCTACATAATTTCAAATTTTTATGTTAAAAAAGAAATAACATTTCCTTAATATGACTGCACAGTACATCAAAAACATAATAGTGAAGACTACCTTAAAAATCCCTGCTTTAGCCCAAGCTATTTCAGCAATGGTATTGCCTAAAATATTTGTATGCTCCAGTGCCAAACTTGTGACAACAGTTACGTAAGGATCTCTAAAAATTTAATATGATTAAAAATAAATCGTTTCATCTTCTTTTTTTGAAAAAGAGTGAATATTACGGATTGAACACGTGAACAAAAGCAGTCACATGTCAAGTATTTTCAAAAATATCCTTAAAATTAGAATGCTTGCTTTTTGCAAGTAGAGTTTCTATTTTTCATACAGAGGTTTTGGAAAGAATAGATTAATTCATATGTTTATACGTTGAGGACTGAATTCAATTGGACCATTAATAAAAACTAGGGGGCATTGGACAAATTTTTTGTTCAAGGACATGATTATTCACGAGTGCACACTTAGCAGCTTTAGATCTTATGACGAAATTTTAAATCTCAGAAAAATTAATTTGGCATCTAACTCTCCATTCCGGACGTTAATTAATAAGCGATATTCCGTAACGAACATCAAATGACATTGATGACGAGTGTTTGACTTCAGATATACCAGAACTCCCTTGATCATGACTTTCCATCAGAATTCCAACAATTTATCACAAAGGAAGTCAAGCAATATTGAATATTTTAAAAACAATGATAAGAAGTTCGTTTTGTCATTAGGCGAAATGAAAGAAATTTAACGAAGAGCTTACTCATCATTTTCATTAATTAAAATTGTACAGCTGTAATTATTTTCGATTTGCGAAACCTTTTGATAAATTTAGACAAATTTGTTAGTGACGCAATACCCGTCTATTTTACTTTAAACTGCTATTTACTACAAATGACTATAAAATAACTTAACCAGTTTGTTACTGCCGTATTTGCAGTTGTTAATAAATCATATTAGTCAGTCAGTCAGTAACAACGTAGAACTTCGTACGTACGTACGTCAGTTCGAGTTGCCACACCACCTTAGCACAGAGATGCAGTTGTCGATTCAAATCCCGTAGTGGTAGAGGTAGCAAGAGTATAAGCAGTAATAGGGAAAATTAGGGTTTGGAGATGTTATTTAAAAAGTATAGTCCAGTGAAATAAATTTGGAAAGAGGAAAAAAGGGACATGGAAAATTCAGAAGATTAGAATCTGGGAGAACACAAAGAGTGGATGCACCTGCGCCATTGCAAACGATTTTGAGCCATGTCATTCAGGGTATCTAACCATCGGTTGCTATCATATTAGGCTAAGACAGGATACGCTTTTTCTTAATAACCAACCATATGCATAATTCATTTGTTTGTACATAGATCCTGGACAATTTCAGCATCAAATTGAGATATCTAAGAGGATATTTCGACATCCAGTAAAAAGGATAGAAATGAGTGCTATCATTGGGGCTTGGTCGGAGACCTAGAATGTATCTCAAAAAGACAGGACTCTTCAAGATGAGTGATGGCAGTGTAACCTATATAAATATTTGAGCATAATTGTAGAAGAAGGTCACCGTTATCTGTTAGCTAGGAATGAAAGCTAAAAGACTCACATAAGTGTTTCTCAACATAACTAAGCCTACACTGTAAACTCAAGAAGTGTTCCATGTACATCCCAAAATAAACTAGCAAAGTGATCACGGGATATGGGCCATCCGTAAGGAGATGCAGTCCCATGGAAGCCGGTGACCAATAATTGGTTCATACGACTTTTGTTCCCGCAGGATACTGGAGCCCATGTGCACCATTGGTTTGTGATCCGGTTAAAGCGCCGGACATTCGCTTTTCGTCCTCTCGATTTCGTAAACAACACCCACGCCCCGAGATGGCAGTGAGTAGGACTTCGCTGGCAGAGGCTGTATACGCATGGCCGTGTGAGAGCATTTCGAGAGGGAGAGCAGACTCTCCCCACTCTCGGCCGTACCAGGGCATTTGGGAATATTTTATACAATATCTGATAACATATTTCATTGTCCATTAATCTTCAATAATCTAAACTATTAGTGGGATATTCTACAAGACAACCAGTACTGTAAAAATAAATAAATGAAACGTGTAGGAAGGCTGTGCTCAGGGTATAAGTAACCTATCTATTCTACCGACAGATATTATGGGGTCGATTGGCAAATGAAACTAGAGTGAAGCTAAATATTACAATCAACGCAGAGCGAAATGGGACAGAATTTTCAAAAACACAATTGATTAAATAAACAAGAAGTTAACTCACTTGAAAATATTTGTATGATCATAACGTCCACCAATACCAACTTCGAAAATCCCGACATCTACCTAGAAGTAAACATTAAGAGTTAAACCTTCAAAATAAACAAATAACAATAATTGATTCAAGACCATTTAAAGAATTAGAGAAAAATAGTTCTCTAATCATTAAAATTCCGAATTAATTGTGAGCTATATTATGACATTACAGAGGTAAATAAAACAAGACAATAATTGACGATAATTTCAAAGTATAATTACAGAAACAACGATATTTATAAAATCCCGATGAGTGTGAAAAAATTAAACTTCTGGAGTTTCGTAACTCAGTGTGAGGCGCTTCTTCAGGGAACAGAAAAAAATCAAATTAAATTCATATGAACAGACATACTTCACTCTTAGTTATACTAAAAATATTCTGTCGTGCGTCCTTGACACTACTTACTTACTTACGCTTGTTACCCCTCGTAAAGGAGCATAGGCAGCTCACCAGCATTGTCCATCTAATTCTGTTTTGGGCAATACGTCTCAGTCGTTTCCAGTTGCTATTCATCTTTTTCATATCTGCTTCCAATTATTGGTGCAATGTGTTCATTGGCCCTCCTCTTTTCCGTTTCCCTTCAGAATTCCAAGTTAGCGCTCGCATCATGATACAGTTTGGTGTTTTCTGTAATGTATGTCCTATTTACTTTCAATGCACTTTCCCAATTTCCTGCTCAGCTTGAACCTGGTCTCCCACAGTAAACTGTTGTCGATGGTATCCGGCACAACGGACATTGAGTATCTTACATAGACAACTGTTTATAAATACTTATACGCTATTGATGATGGTTGTTGTAGTTCTCCAAGTTTCAGCTCCATAAAGTAGAACTGTTTTGACATTCCTATTGAAGATTCTGACTTGGACGACAGTTGTTTTGAGTTCCATATGTTTTTTAACCGTAGGAATGCTGTCCTTGTTTGTTAATCCTTGCATTTTCATCTGCATCAGATCCTCCACATTCATCAATGATGCTACCCAGGTACGTGAGACTCCACCTCTTCCGAAGTTTTACCATCAAGCGTGATTGGGTTGGTGCTCGCCGTGTTGTATTTGAGGATCTTGCTTTTTCCCTTGTGTATTTTGAGGCCTACGGATGCGGACGCTGGTGCTACACTAGTTGTCTTCACCTTCATTTGTTGGTGTGCATGGGATAGAAGAGTCAAGTCATCTGCGAAGTCCAAATCGTCTAGTTGCATCCAACCTATCCAGTGCACTCCGGGCTTCCTTTCAGATATCGGTCTTCATAATCCAGCCAAACACCAGAAGAAAGAGAAACGGTGAAAACAAGTAGCCTTGTTTGACTCCGGTCCTCACATGGAATGCATCTGTCAGTTGTCCTCCATGCACCACTTTGCACTGCAGTCTGTCGTATTAATTCCGGATGACGTTAACGGACTTCTCAGGTATTCCATGGTGTTAAAGTAGTTTCCATCAAGAGTTCCTATCCACACTGCCAAATGCTTTCTCATAGTAAAGGATGTTGATGTGTAGTGACGAGTTCCATTCAACTGATTGTTCAACGATGATCCATAGTGTTGTGATTTGGTCTGTACCGATCCTTGTGGAATCCAGCCTGTTGATCTCACAGTTGAGCGTCCACTGAATCTTTCATCCGGTCCAACTAAACTTTGTTGAACACTTTTCCCAGTACCGATAGCAGTGTGATTCCTCCATAGTTCTCACATTTGCTCATACCTCCTTTCTTTGGTATGTTGATGAGATATCCTTCTTTCCAGTCTGTCAGCAATTGTTCTTCCGCCCAAATCTTCCTGAATAGAATATGGAGTATCTTTGCAGTTGTCTCTATTTCTTACTTCAGTGTCTCAGGTGGTATATTGTCAGGTCCTGCTGTTTTCCCATTCTTGATTTGCTTGATGACCATTCTGATTTCTTTGATCGCTGGTGGAGTGACATCGATATGAAGGTCTGTAGGTGCTGCTTCGATTTTTGGTGGACTCAATGGAGCTGAACTATTCAAGAGTTCTTTAAAGTATCTTACCAATCTGTTCTTCTGTTCATGAATCTCAATGATTGGCTGTTTTCTTGCTCTTCCTTTCTTGAATCCTATCTAGGGTTTCGACAGAGATACTTTCCTTATGATGATGCTTCTTAAGGCCATGCACCTCCTGACACGTTGATGTTAATGCTCCTTTGATACCTTTCCAGTTGCCTCCCATAGTAGTTTCTTCTTCTTTCAGTAGATCTTGTAAGGCTTGGAACCTGTCGTTGAGAGTTATCTTGAATTTGTTGAGTTTGTTAATATCTTGAAGGAGGGCTGTATTGAACCTTTTCACTGCTTTTTCCCAGCTGTCCAGTGTATCTTCAGCTCCAGTTTCATCTTGGCAACTACCAGTTGGTGGTGATCTGAAGCTATATCAGCTCCTTTCCTGGTTCTCACGTCTTTCATTGACATTCTGAATTTTTAGTGATGCAATTATGATCGATCTGATTTCATGTAATGTGATCCAATGAGACCCATGTACCTTTGTGTATGCGTTTGCGTGGGAATATTGTGCTGCCTATAACCATTTTGTCGAATGTACATAAATTTGCAAATCTGTCACCATATTCGTTCCGCTCTATCATGTCGTCCCATGATATCTTCATACCCGGTGTTGTTCATTCCGACTTTGGAGTTTAGGTCACTCATCAGGATGGCCAAATCCTTTCCTGAACACTTCACCATAATCGATTGCAACCTCTCGTAAAACTGACCTTTATCACCGTCGTTGCTATCATTGGTGGGTGCATAACATGGGGTAATATCCATTGCGATTCTTGATATGATGGAAAGAAAAGTCAATTTTCGATTGATTTACTTATTATGAGTTTCGTTCAACATTACTTCCATTCTCATTCAATGTAATGACTACTCAATGTAGTATTTGTTTTCTTTTATGATATACGATAATCTTGTATTTTATTGACATGAACTATGCTTAATATGTGACTTGTTATAACTCTAAGTACTTTTCATATATGAGATGTCACCTTAATTATTAATCAAATCGTGTGTACAATCAATACATAAACGAGTGTATTTTTGACTATCGTCGTCGTCGCAGTGTTTTCGGGTTAATAAATCTTCACTTATACCAGTTTTTGTGCTCTTACTTTCGCGTCGTGGGAATCGCGGAGGTCCCTCGTTCCGAATATAAGTGATAAACGTTTCCGACACAACAATCACAGACAACCAGATATAGCAAGCAGCATTCAACTGACGAGTTATAACAATTCTCTTCTTATTTGTTTTGATGATCCTGGGTCTATGAGATTTCCATCTTATAAGTGCTTCTTTGGACAGCATCAGAGCAACTCCCTGAGTATGCGGAGCATTTTATTTTTCGTAACTAGAGTACAGCAACATCTCTTTCAAATCTAATCTTGTCTGTTTAGCTTGGATCCAATGGGTTTCATTGATTCTGAGAACCATCAAGTAGTATCTCCTCATTTTCGAAGCTATTTGACTGGTTCTCTCAGTTTCCAAAATTGTCCGAACATTCCATGTACCTATATTAATTATTGCTCTGGTTGTTGGAAGGGGTGTCGGCCACGTGATTTCCTAAGAATCTCACCTTTCATCTTGGGGCATATTTCTCGATGAAGGTCCTTCGACACGAAGGGTAGAGTTTAAATAGTCTAATTTGTTTATTCTGGTTAGCGTTTTTTAGCAAGATTGTTTTCTACGGGATGGAGTTATTGACCCTATGTCCAACCCTCCTCCTTTACCCGGGCTTAAGACCGGTAGTCTGTTTGTGTAGCTTAGACGTTTGTTGGAACATGTTACGATTTCATAAGAAAACTCCATTACAATCTACACATCCTAGTCTGCGGACATAATTTCGTGTCGAAGTGATGGGAATTTTATCATTTATTTGAACTAAAGCATTTTGAGGAGTTTTCGTTATTTTATAGAATGCTTTAGCCCTGTGCGATCTGATGATTCATTGTAGTTCTTCTCTTGTGGTTTAGATGTAATATTTTCAGAAAATTTTGCTAGTGTCAGTCGAAAAGAATATTTTTTTAAATTGTCATTTTAAAACTCATAGAATACACATGTAAAATTGGAAATGGCAACTTGGAATTAATACATTTAAGTGGATCAATCTGGAGAAAATCTCAAAAATCTTTTATAAATACCCACGAATATCACACAATATCATCGTTGATTGGAGTTGAAATAAACCTTTTTAGTTTGTATTGCATTCTCAATTAATGACCACTAGGTTAGAGAGTTATTCAGTGGTATTTCGTCGTATATTGCATCCGGTTTCCGCATTAAGTAGCACAGTTAAGATATAATACATCGTCTCTAAGGTGAACAATTCACTTCAGTTAGAGATGTTATACTATATGCACTGTGAAACATTCAGCTCTCAGTGGTAATTCTGTCGAACTTAACTCGAAAAATTTAATTAGTATTTCATTCGCATGAAGTTTCTATGGTTATGTATAAGTCGTTCGGTCCTTCTAGTCGAATAGATTAGTTCTTATATTGGAGGTACCGTCCAGTTCGTCATCACTTTCAACCCCAATCAACATTATGTAGATCAAAACACTAAGACATAAATATCTTCACATATTACTGGTAAACGCTCAAAGCCAATAGACTAAAGGACAAAGGTAAACTCACTTTCTCATCAACAAATGCTTTACAAGCCATCACAAAAATGTAATGAAGAAATGATGGCATAGGTATATTAATTGAGGTTTTCTACATAAACACAAGAAAATGAGAATAATATGAGTGAATTATTTAACTTATCAGGTATAAATTTGTGCATTCATATTGTTTGGTCGAGAACTAATGATACTCTGCGATTTTCTAAACGGTGGACAGAGTGGAGCTTACATCTATCAACAAGTAGTTGATAGACAAATGTTTTAACTACCATTTGAAACGGATCATTTATGTACTTTTGTGAGACCTATCAAGTACCATACTTACAACTCAAACAATGAGATTTGAAGTCTAATATACAAACATGTACTTAGTCATTAAGTTCGACTGAATTCATAGTTTTCAGAAAAAAAAATCAACGAAATTAAACTTCACCAATTCAGATATTAAGATATTACACTGATTACATCGAAAACATTGTATTATATAAGCCTAAAACAATGATGGAGTACGGTAAAAATATAAAACTGCTCTCCAAAAGCTTGTATTAATATCTGAAATTACGTACTCTCAGTTGGTGTAGCCGAATGAAATATTAACAACGTTCAGTTGATCCTTTTATCTTGTTAGTTCAATTGACAGGATTTTGTTGCATCGTCTGAACTGCGAATTAAATATTATGTCAGTCATACTCAAATTAAAACGTGACACTTATGTGTATCGGTTCAAGTTGCCACATCACATTAACACAGAGATAAAATTATTACACATCCCAAAGATGTAGTAGTAGTAGTAGTAGTAGTAGTACTAATAGTAGTAAAGAGATTGCAGAACTCAGATTTCAAAGGAAGGGAAACAGTAGATACATCCATAACATTGCGGATGATTTTGAGTCATGTTCCCTAAAATATCTAACCACTGATTGCGACGCCAACCAGATAGTCCTGGCTTAGTTCAACTGTTAGAGACTTCACGGACTGGTGTCTTGTCACGGTTTGGCCAACCCTAGCTTTCTTTGAGTCTACTCCCACACCAGACGACATCGCCCATCGAGGTTGACGGTGGCTAGTCAATTGTAACACGTGCCCCAACCATTTCAGTTGATGAAAATTCACTACCTCATAAATCGACATCATGTTTACGTAATACCCTATGTCTAATATCGAGATCCCTTACTCGGTGATCCCGAAATATACGAACAATGTTTCGAAAACACCTATGATCCAATATTTGTAACGTACGAATATTCTTTATTCTTAATGGCCATGCAACACACCTATGAGGTAGAACGGAGTGAACTGCTGTGCTTTTAGAATCTGTGCCGAGACTTCGTCGGAAACTAATCCAGTAGAGTTGATGAGGCTCCTAAGATAAGCGAGGCGGTTGACATGCTCAACCACTTCATTCCTTATCATTAAATTCAGACATTGACGTACACAAATCCTGAAGCAACATTTTGCATTTAGTGGGAGAAAATCACATTACAAACATGCTCACATTGTTACTTTATGCGGTTATGAAATTCTGTATTTTTTCGGCGCCTTCACTAGACAGGAAGGATCATATAACTTGCGTAATCCGGGTCGTCAAGTGGATCTCCTGATAAGAAATTAGCCCTTCAAAAATTAAACGACGGCAGCGTATTTTCCAAAAAAACTCCTAGTATCGAAATAAAAATCCTGAGAAACGTCACTTGAGGTTACAAATTTTGACGACAGTTCGTCATAAGCTCTGGCTCTATCTATGGCATTCGAGGAGAACCTTCCCAATAGTTAATGTACTTCTTTGTTACCCTCTTTAATGACAAATAGTGCCACAAAAACTCTCAGTTAAATCAGTCGAATCCCGACCGTTGCTGCTGCCTTGAAGTGGTGGTCGAGGTTGCCTATCTTGATGAACCAATCGTTCATGAAAGTCCTACCATGCCAGATAGATCAGTTGAAGAGCGGTAAGACTAAAAGCAGTTAACCCAAGGTCCGAGGGAGAAGTAGTACTGCTTACTGCATAGAGATGTGACAGCGGTAAGGTGTTCCCTTCAGAAAACCAGAATAACAGCGTTGCTACCTTTCCACAAGGAAGGTTGGGGTTAGAAAAGATCAACTCTAAAATGCACACCTCGCCCTATCCCACGAATATCCGTCTCCGGTAGTAAGGTCCCAACAAGTACGGAGCTTGTTATACCCTACTGAAGATTAAAGCACGGGTAACTTCTGAGATCTACTAATGGACTAATATTATACATATATATATATATATATATATATATATATCACTATTGTATAACTGTTCAGTAACTAGATTATGTATATCTATATTCCTCTTATTATAAGCCTTTTGATATATAAATTGTTATTATACGACTTACTGTTCCTAAATTATGTTCAGTTTATTAATTACCGTCCCCTACGTTCGCAGCCACTTTTTGGCTTGATCTTGTATAAATGTTATTTCCTATTTTATGGTGTGATGCGATGTTTGACTGGTATATAAACCAAGTATTTTTGAAATAAATGATTTGCATAATGGAAGCTGTAATCGGTGTTCTGGACTCAAATGGACGGGCTAGGCGAACAAAGGACCAATAAGGACGCTAGGCTGCTCATGCCGGTCGAACGTCATTGGTTTTGGACAGTACTAAGATTGGCGAATAAATCATGTGATAACTAGCGGCCATAAAATACACAACAGAGCTGACATGAAAACTACTTACAAAAAGGTCGTGTGTGATCAACCTCAAGTAGTTGTCCCTTGGGCGCTGCGGTCACGCTCTTAGGTCACTACGACCACTCCTAACCTGATTTCCTCTTGAGGTACCTCCAGAAGAACCCTTCCACGGTGTGGGCAACCGGGAAGTGATAACTGCCTTCATACCTCTAAGAGTACTCAAGATCATTGTATTCATAACCAATCCCCCTCTTCAATTCCTACGTCGACTTTCAACTCTAAACTTGCTCTCTTGACTTCCTCTTTAAATATCACCATGGCCAACGATTCTAGTGCGCAAAACACTGTCCCAGGTCTACTGAAACCCCGCTCCAAACTACACATTGGAGCCTTCAACGTACGCAACCTATGTCAAATCGGTCAACAGACTTCCATGGCTAGAACCCTAGAATCTCGTACCATTGATGTATGCTGTGTCTCTGAAACACGCATACAGGATCCCAGTGTGGTCATTCACCTGACCTCACCTCGGCAAAACGGAGCCAACGAGATACACCCTCCGTGTATCTGGTGACACGACGGTCAGCTCTCGTGGACTAGCAGTTGTAGGGATAGCATTAAGCATGAGGGCAGAACAATCACTGTTAGAGTGGATCCCCGTTAACATTCGTTTATGTGCTGTTCGGCTAAACGGCTCCGTAAGAACTCGGAAGGATAGGGACACACGTCGTTGCCGTTTTGTCGTTTCTGCCTATGCTCCCACTGACTGCAGCTCAGATGAAGTGAAAGATGAATTTTACAGAAAGCTATCTGAACTTCTTCAAAAAGCTAAACGTTCAGACATAGTACTCGTAGCAGGTGACTTTAATGCCCAGATAGGTAGTTTAAACCAAACAGAAAGGCATTTAGGTGGGCATTTTGGTATTCCGGCTCAGTGAACAGATAATGGTGATCGTCTGCTGCAACTGTGCACCGACAATCGTTTATTTTTAGCAAGCACTAGTTTAAAGCGTGAGGAGAGACGTCGTCTAACATGGCGACCCCCTGCACCAAACCAACGATGGACTCAAATAGACCATATTGCCATCAGTCATCGTTGAAGTGGGTCGATTGTCGCTCATTCTAGAATACCTGCTTGGACTCCGACTATGCTCTAATACAAACACGCATCTGCTTGCGCCTCACTGGACGCAAAAAAGCAGGTGGTCCAGATGGATTGGCTCCAGAGGTCTTTAAGGATGGTGATCCAGTTTTAGCGATTAGGTTGACTAATATTTTAGCTAAAATCTGGTAGTTGGACGTTATCCCATCTGGCTAGTCACAATCACTGATTCTCCCAACATATAAGAAAGGGTCAAAATCATCCTTTGATAACCACAGAGGGATTAGTTTGACTAACTTAGCATCTAAAATATTAGCCTCAATAATCATCGGGCGTCTAACAAAGACTTGTGGACTGCAAACACGAGAAAATCAGTATGGCCTCAGACCTGAACGTGGCTTCATCGACAAATTCATCATTCGTCGTATTTTAGAACACAGGTAGGTTTATCGGCGTCCGACAATGGCGGTCTTTCTTGACTTAAAATTAGCATTTGACTGTGTAGACTGTGAGGTTCTGTGGCAGTCTGTCATTGAAAGGTGTAACTCAGAAGTACATAAACCTTGTGAAGGCTTTTTACTCGAATACTACCCGTCGAGTCAGAGCTTATAGCGAACTGTCATCTGATTTTGCAACCTCAAGTGATGTCCGTCAAGGATGTCCACCATCTCTACTTTTGTTCGATTTCATCATAGACATGCTGATGGAATTAACATTCTCGTCGAATGAATTTTCGGGCACTGACCACCTTCCTGGAGGTACACTTGTCGATTTAGAATACGCAAATGACATAGTCCTGTTTGATGAAAACGCTGATAAAATTCAGTCTTTCGGTAGCTCATAGATTCTCGACAGTTTCATCATCAAATTGAGATATCTAAGAGGATATTTCGACATCCAGTAAAAAGGATAGAAATGAGTGCTATCATTGGGGCTTGGTCGGAGACCTAGAATGTGTCTCAAAAAGACGGGACTCTTCAAGATGAGTGATGGCAGTGTAACCTATATAAATATTTGAGCATAACTGTAGAAGACGGTCACCGTTATCTGTTAGCTAGGAATGAAAGCTAAAAGACTCACATAAGTGTTTCTCAACATAACTAAGCTTACCAACTAAGGGAGTTAAGACACCTGCAACGATTATTGTTTCTGAGGGCCCTAATTTCTGAAGGAGATCAGAACGCCTCCTGCAAAACTCATTTTTATTGTGATTAGTAGAGGGCATTTCCACAAACGACGAAGAAATAACAATATGTTTCTATATCTCATCAACTCATTGTACCACTTAATTGCACAATACATGAGAAACTATCAGTATGAATACGGGCAAAATGTCCCTGTTCCTATCATGTCTCTAGAAGCATGAAGTGTAGATTGCATTGGCTCACCATACTATCTAGTTTAGATCAAGCTAACGAAACCACTGGGATACTGTATGCATATTTCAGAGACAGCACACATTAATGGCACAATATTCTACGGTCATAGTTAGTGGTGAAGCCTGTTGTCCGACTTGACACAGGGTTTGAACATGCAATAATCCGACGTGTAGTTTAGAGAGTCGTTTCAAAGGACCTACAGTAGCTTTCAGTCAGCAGGACTATTTAGTATTAGAGGCTCATGAAGAAAAAATAAATATTAAGAAGTCTCAGAGCGATCTCAGTGTCAACAAGGTAATCTCGTGTGTTGTTACAGATATGAGGGCGGTTGTTACTTTTCTGTTCTCCATATCGTGGAAGGATATTTCTCCTCAAAATGCCTAAGGAGAAAACTGGATTCCTTACGACTTGAGAGTGTGACTGCAGAACATAAGGGACAACTGACTCAAGCCAATCACACACAACCATTTAATAAACAGTTGTAGATACTTTAACATACTTTTCAGATCTCAACACCGGTGATGAAAATCTGTGGGACAAGGTGAAATCTGCTGTTTCCAGAGCCTCATTACTATCATACCCCTATACAGTCAGTAGTACGGCTTCACTCTCAGACTTCAAGTTGCTACTCCTAATTTTAACGTCCTCCAACTAACCTGAAAGAGATGATAAGACCTAAAGGAACAAGTGGTCCAGCCAATGTAGCCAGATTAAGTCATCACGATATGCAAGTGCGACCACGTCCATAAAAGGCAAAGGTTGAATACATCTATATCATTGAGATCGATCATGACTTTTGTAATTCGACATTCCCAATCAATGGGAACAATAGTAGAGCGGACCTCAGTCAGACAGTTTGTACCTACCAATACTTTTCAGTCCGATGGTTTATAGACTCAAACCGTCTTGCTATGCCCCCCCAAACTTATTATTGTACTATACGACAGATTTGGGATTACTGTTAGCTAGTGTATGAAGCTAGCTTGGACTGGACCCACACAGATCACTAGCAACTAATTATGCTCCAAATATAGAGTAATATGTGTTAAAATATATGGTACTATTACCTATTTTAAACCATATCAAATGGGCATAATATTTTACTCGACTGGTCTTAAATCAGAATGAGAATCGGACGTCAACAAAAATACACTCGAAAATCCAAAAAGCAAAAGTTAGTATAGTAAGAACGTTAAATTGTATACAAAATCTATATAAGAATCTTTTAGTACTTTCCCATTTCATTCATTAGCACTAACTGGCTGAAAATTTGCCCAATCACGATCCTCTGGCTTCACTGATTTTGATATACGACTGATTTGAAGACTATGATGTACCTTAAATTGAAATTCGCAACTTATTTTCTTGATTAGTTACAATCAGATATTTATCACAGATTAGTTAGAGGCAGTAATAGCTAATCAGACATTTACAAACAACGTGAGACTCACTGTAAACTCAAGAAGTGTTCCATGCACATCCCAAAATAAACTAGCAAAGTGATCACGGGATATGGGCCGTCCGTTTATCCGTATTCTTTCCTCAACGTTTATGAGGTGAGGAGAGCTATTTAAATAAAACACAAGTATACACATATAGGATTAGTTGACATAACACAGCCCTTTTGATCACTTGATGGCCCCGTATGTGGTGACAGTTGACAAAAGGTGAACAATTTAATATGACTTAATATTCTTGATTGATCTGGGGAGAAGTTAAGCTTTCCTGTGAATAATGTTAGTTATAATTAGTATAGATAACTAAAATGAAGACATCGATTGGTTATTTAGTTTGAGTTTTATTAAGACTACTTTCCAATGTGATACAAGTCAGCCAAAACGAACTTTATGAATCAGATTATACGGGTGGCTCCACGGACATTCAATGGCTTTGAGGAGCTTTCGATTATATCGTTATTACTTTTACTAAATTATTCACCAGAGTAAGTCGAAAGAGCAGTTTTCTTGTTTTGTTAACTATTTAGCAACTTCTTTAATACACAGGAAATGTTCCAATATAACATAGAGAAGCTTATCAGATACTTGTTTTAAAGTTTATTCAGGCTCAAACATTAACAATCAGAGTAACCCGTGATGAGCGTCCAAATAAATACTCCATGAAAACTTAAAGTCACGCACTGAGATGACAAATGATGGCGGTGACTAAACAAGTAATTGTTGAAGTGAAGTTTGGAAAGACGATTAAAACGTTTCTCGAAGAAAACTACTTAAATCCAACACTTCTGGCGTCACTAAAAAATAGACTCTTCAATTGTTAAGGCTCCAACAGTTAAATATACTGGTTACTGTCTAAAATTCGCATTCTGATTATAATGACTACAAAAACAAAAGGTGAATGTATACACATACTAACCTTAAAAACCCAGTGCGAAATCCTGATTTCTGTAAGACGTTTTCAATCATTGAACAAACTGAACCTTTGCCTTTAGACCCTGTAACATGTATAACATGTAAGTCACGTAGTTGCTGATCCTGTTGTACAAATAACTTGAGCAAATTTTTGAACATACTTCAATTCCAACAGCAGAGCAATAAACAGCGGACAACCCATACCTTTGTTCTTTCAAAAGCCTTGGATTTGACGGTGTTAAGTAATTCGACAGCCTAATAGACTTGTTAAGTTCATGTATGGCATCCTTGAAACACTTAGAACACGAGTCAACTTACTTTATAAGAACGAATGAAACATGGGACCATTTTACGAAAAGTCATCTGAAAATATTGGTCCCTTGGGTGAATTCATTAATAAACCTGAAAAATTACAAAGTTGAACAGAAAAAAAATTAAAGAACCGGATGCTGAAAGACAAACCCATACTTAAAATTATTACTCTTGGTAATTAAGCTAAGTGAGGCACTAAACATCCCATTTTTTGAACTCGAAAAAGCATATTTAAGGCGTTAAACGGGACCGAGACTGTTATAATCTCTTTTCCTACGGTACGACCCAGCCATTCCTATTGCTTAATATTCTTGACACCAAATCACTCGACAAGTCCCCAAATCAGAACATGGTTGAACAGGAAAGAGATTATATTCCAAATAACAAGGTTAGACGGAAGTAAGAAGAAGCAAGTAAGAAGCACAATAGAGAAAACGTTAGTATATTTATAGTTTTTACACGAGAAGATTCTAGAGTATTCTCCAACTATCGACTAGTGCTGATTGGATAAGAATTAGCCAATCAGAGTGCAGCAAAGCAATCGTGCATTGAGCATGCTTTAATCCAGTCTATGTCCCGCTAACAGAGACCAACATTAATCACTTCAAGGGTTTTAACGTTAGTGTTTTTGCCGACTATGACCCATTATTTGTTATATGCAACTTTGACATAGTAATACGATCAAACAAACAAGACTGAAAGGTACACTTATTTCACGAAAATTAGCGACACACATTTCCAGCAAGTGATCTAACAGTTTAAAGTCACGTTCTAGGATCGTTTAGTCACAGTTCTGTTAAGTATGAAGGAGTCACTAAGCTATTAGAATCTCGTTACGCTTACTGCGATTCGAACAACCGGGTAATATTATTAGTCTTTATAAAAAATTGATAATTCATAGTATCTTGGTTACCTTGTTGATAACATAACCAGATCAGTGGTGTTGCCCTTTGAAATCTGTTTGGATGAGATTTCGAGATTTATTCAGTTAGTAAACTACCTGTCGGGTTATTTTTGTCTTTTGAATAACACCAAATCATTTGTATTGTTATAAAAGTTACTATTAACTTCCTCACAGTTAAATTTTTCCACCTTCGTAGGAGTAACAATACAATGTCTTTCTAGCTTTGAATTAATAACTTAACCAATAAAATGTTTTGTAGAAAAAGGCACCATGATGCAAATTCAAATACAAGATAATTTAATTGTATAGCGTTTTATTATTTCGAACATATGAAAATGCTGATAAATACATCCGAATTTCCAAGAGAAACATGAATTGAGTTTAATTCAGTCAGTCAGTCAGTCAGCTACAACGCAGGACCAGGCACATATATGCATCGGTCCAGGTTGCCATACCGCATTAGCACAGCAAGATGAACACCGGATTCATAGGAGTGGTTAGGTCAAAGGTTGCAATAAGGATATAGTATAGGAAGAAAGAATTAGTTCGTAGAAAGAAAGAATGAAGTGATTTTAGTCTCTTGGTTTAAGGGAAGACAGGGAGTGTATACACCGACGCCATTGTGATCGATTCTGAGCCATGTCACCAAGAGTCTCCAGCCATTGGTTACGAAAGTCACGCGGACCCCAACCAAGTAGTCTGCATCTACCAACATGGCTCAGACTAGAAGTTAGTGACTTCAAGCACTGATGCCACGTTTTGGTTTGGCCGCCCCTAATTCTCTTCCAACCATCTCTAACACCGGTTAGCATTGCACGTCGCGGTAATCGGTGTTCGGGCATACGTAACACGTGGCCCAACCATCTCAGTCGATGAAGGTTCATAACCTCATCAACTGATTTACCATCATTACCTAATACCCTGCGTCTAACCTCACTATTACTTACCCGGTGATCCCAGCAGATACCAGCAATATTTCTAAGGCATCTGTGGTCAAATACTAGTAGCTTACGGGTGTCTTCTACTCTTAAGGGCCATGTTTCGCTGCCGTAAAGTAAGACAGAACGGACTGCCGCGCAGTATACTCGTCCTTTTATTGATAGACGGATATCTCGCCTTCGCCAAAGGTGACGTAAATTGGCAAAAGCCAAACGAGCTTTTCGAATCCGTGCTGAGATTTCGTCAGACACCAACCCATTAGAGCTGATCAGACTTCCAAGATAAGTGAAGTCGTCGGGGAGTTTGACTACTTCACTCCCTATCCTTAGTTCAGGTGTTGACGCAGACCAGTCCTGAAGCAACAACTTGCATTTAGAGGGAGAGAAGCGCATCCCAAACATTCTGGCATTGTTGCTTAGTGCTACCAGAAGACTCTGCATTTTGTCAGCGTCTTCACCAAACAGGACTATGTCATCTGCGTATTCTAAGTCGATAAGTGGACCTCCTGGAAGGAGATCAATACCCGAGAATTCAGTCGACGAGAGTGTTATTTCCATCAATAGGTCTATGATGAAGTTAAACAGAAATGGAGAAAGTGGACAGCCTTGACGGACACCACTTGAGGTTGCAAAAGTAGATGACAGTTCGCCATAAGCTCTGACTCGACTAGTAGTGTTCGAGTAAAGAGCCTTCACAAGGTTTATGTACTTCTGAGGTACGCCTTTCAATGACAGACACTGCCACAGAGTCTCGCGGTCTACCGAGTCAAATGCTGCTTTTAAGTCAAGAAATACCACCATCGTCGGACGCCGATAGGTATGCCTGTGTTCTAGAACCTGACGAATGGTGAATATGTGGTCGATGCAGCCACGACCAGGTCTAAAGCCAGCTTGGTTCTCTCGAGTTTGTAGTTCACGAGTCTTAGTTAGGCGTTTGATAATTATCGAGGCTAGTATTTTAGATACTATGTTTGTTAAACTAATCCCTCTGTGGTTGTCACAGGATGATTTTGACCCTTTCTTATATATTGGGACGATAAGTGATTGTGACCAGTCAGATGGAATAACGTCTAACTCCCAGATCTTAGCTAAAATATTAGTCAACCTAATCGCTAAAATTGGACCACCATCCTTAAAGACCTCTGGAGCCAATCCATCTGGACCAGCTGCCCTTCCTCGTTTCAGATTAACTATAGCCTTTTGAACTTCAGCAAGAGTCGGGGGACCTACTTCAATGTTCCATTCACACTGTCTGGGAATGGAGGGTAGTTGTAGAGTAGCTGAAGGCCAGCTGAACTGTTCCCTAAAGTGTTCCGCCCATCGTTCTAAACGCCTGGACTTGGAGCAGATGAGTGTATCGTCTTTTTCCGATATAATCTCACTTACACTTGACTTATTAATTCCAGTTTCTTTTATTAGTCTGTAAAGCTGTCTTGTGTTCCCTATAGTCGCCGCCTTTTCCATCTCTTTTGCTTTCGATGCCCACCACTGCTCACGGTCGTTTCTTAGGCTTTTTCTTAACCTAGATCTGATTTGTTTTCGCTCTTCATCATGTTCAGAACCTGATGGGACGAGTTTGCGAGAATCCATCAGTGTGACAGACCTTGAAGAAATCCACTGGTTCCTTGCAACTCTGTGGTTTAAGTCACTAATAGATGTCACTGCTGTTTCCACAGCTGATTGTATGCCCTTCCAAGCAACATCTGGGTCAGCCTCGTCTTCACAACTACCTAAGTGTGACCTCAGTTGTTCTTGGAACCTACTTTTGGTTTTCTCGTTACTCAACTCAGTTCTAACGGGTCTTTTTAATGCGGCTTTTTTGCGTCCAGTGAGGCGCAAGCAGATGCGTGCCCGTATTAGGGCATGGTCGGAGTCCAAGCAGGTACTCCAGAATGAGCGACAATCTTCTACCGACCCTCTCCAACGATGACTGATGGCAATATGGTCTATTTGAGTCCATCGTTGGTTTGGTGTAGGGGGTCGCCATGTTAGACGATGTCTCTCCTTATGCTTAAAATTTGTGTTTGCTAAAAATAAACGATTGTCTGAGCATAGCTGCAGCAGACGATCACCATTATCTGTTCGCTGTGTCGGAATACTAAAATATCCACCTAAATGCCTTTCTGTTTGGTTTAAACTGCCTATCTGAGCATTAAAATCACCTGCTACGAGTACTATGTCTGAGCGTTTAGCTTTCTGAAGAAGTTCGGACAGCTTTCTGTAAAATTCATCTTTCACATCATCTGAGCTGCAGTCAGTGGGAGCGTAGGCAGAAACGACAAAAAGGCAACGACGTGTGTCCCTATCCTTCCGAGTTCTTACGTAGCCGTTCAGCCGAACAGCACATAGACGACTGTTGACGGGGATCCATTCTAGCAGTGCTTGTTCGGCCCTCATGCTTAGTGCTATGCCTACACCTGCCAGTCCACGAGAACTTGCCATCGGGTCACCAGATACACGAAGGGTGTATCTCGTTGGCTCTCCGTTTTGCCGAGGTGAGGTCAAGTGAATGACCACACTGGAATCCTGTATGCGTGTTTCGGAGACACAGCACACGTCAATGGTAAGAGACTCTAGGGTTTTAGCCAAGGAAGCCTGTTGACTGATTTGACATAGGGTGCGTACGTTGAAGGCTCCAATGTGTAGTTTGGAGCGAGGTTTCAGTAGACCTGGGACAGTATTTTGCGCACTAGAATCGTTGGCTATGGTGACACTTGAGGTGGAAGCCGAGAGAGGAAATTTAAAGTTGAAAGTCGATGTAGGAGGAATAATAGGAATTGAAGGGGAAGGTTGATTATGAATACAGTGGTCTTGAGTGCTGTTAGAGGTATGAGGGCGGTTTCCACTTCCCGGTTGCCCACACCGTGGAAGGGTTCTTCTGGAGGTACCTGAAAAGGAATTTGGATTAAAGGTGGTCTTAGTGACCTGAGAGCGTGACCGCAGTGCCCAAGGGACAACTGCTTGAGGTCGGTCACACACGACCTTGTTATGGGTAATTTTTGTGTTAGCTCCGTACTTATTGAGACCTTACCGCCGGAGACGAATATCCGTGGGGTGAGGCGAAGTGTGCATCTTTAAGGTCGACCTTTTCTAACCCCACCCCTCCTTGTGGGAAGGCAGCATCACTGTCATGCTGGTTGTCTGAAGGAAACACCTTACTGCTGTCACATCTCTGTACAGTCAGCAGTACGACTTCGCCTTCGGACCTC